GACTTGGCTCCACAACTCGCACCCCCGACTCCAGTCCCAGCTCCCTGACCCCTAACCCCAAGTCCGGTTCCTGTCGCAGCTCCATGACTCAGGCCCTTGGCTCCACGACTCCCGCCCCCGTCTCCAGTTCCGGCTCCCTGACCCCAACTCCGGTTCCTGTCCCGGCTCCCCGCGGCCTGCCGCTAGCGCGCCTCGTGCCCGGCTCCCCAGAGTTCCCTGGGCTGCCCGACCCTCATCCCCTGGCCCTCTCCCTCCTGCCCCTTTGTCTGCTCTCTGCCTGTCCCGCCCGCCCTTTTTTGGGGTCTTAGGGCCGTCTGGAACTTGTCCCTGGGGAGGGTGTGCGTGTGGTTCCCGTGCCTGTGAGTCCCTGGTCCTGGTCCGTGTCTGCGTTTTTTCTCCTCGGTAGTTTTGGTTAAACTCTCCAAGGGAGTCCTGCTTCCTGCCACCCCGCCTCATGACATAGTGGAGGTTTTGCCCACTCAGATGGAGCACAAGCACAGTTTCTTTTGAAAATTCGACATGATGAGCGACAGAAGGCATAAAAGGAACAAACTCTCCCTTCTAATCAGTGCCCCTCACAGTTCGGAAAGATGCTAATGGACATGTCAGGAGCATCACAAATAGGATGCGCTAACAGCAGCTTAATGATGGAAGATGGAAAAAGTTTGAGATATGGAAGGCCTATTGACCTGTTGACAAATGAGGATGCTTTCCCCCCCCTCCCACAATATTTTGTCCATGAGAGGACAAACAGGAGTTACATTTACGCGTTCATCTGTCTCACAGCTGTCTGACTGCTTTCAGCTCTGCAGCTGTCGAGCACTAGCATGCACCCATTAACAACCTTCCCGCCCTAACGGTCCTGTGGATGTGTGTGCAACACACATTTGGATGGCAGCAAAAGAAGAATTTAGCAAGTCTTCCCAGCACTGATGCTTTAGCGGCAGTTCCCAGCACAGCTTGTGAAGTCTCTAATGTTAATTAATGGGAGGGAGCAGAGCATGTGATTCCTAACTAACCCCTGAGAATGATGGTGCGAAGGCATGGAAGTGGAAAAGATAGTCTAAAAAAGAATGCAATTAGTTTTAAAGACTCCTTTTCTAACCGTCCATATGCAGCAAACCACTCTGCACATTGTTAGCAGCTGACAAGATGATGTCTGATGTTTTCGATCCACTGCCAACATGCTGACTGGCAGGGGAATATAGATTAATTGACATCATGACTCTAATTGGGTAAATGAAAAAAAATCCAGGTGGGTTGAACGCTAACCAAGCTCAACGGCGGAGTGACGGGTCATCCGGTGAAGAAAACCAGTCTGTTTGAAACCTGACCACCATCTGTCACCACATGTTCCTCAAGAAATATGTCTAATGCTAATGGCCTCCTAACATTCACAGCACGTTACCAGGTGGGGGCAAAGACTGCGTTAATGATGTGGAGCCCCCCCAGAAACAATTTAATGGCAATACGGAACTCCAAAAGTGTTGTATCCTATGCACGCCTTGTTTTCAAGTTTTTCTAGTGCAAAACAGATGAATATGATCTTCAAAATGGTCTCCAAGCAGCAAATCAAAGACACGCTTTACTACCACAGAGGTGTGGTAGGTCCAGCTAGGCACTTACAAAAGAAAGGGGAACTTTTAGCTCATGGAATTTACTAGGTAATTTTAAATGTATTAAGAAAACCAGAACAGTGGCTTTTCTGGGGGCATTGCTGGTTGGAAAGGCAATAGTTTAAGTAGTAGTTTTTCTTATACTGCACCAACTCCACCAACGACTTCAATCCCCGGCAACACAGCAGCCATGTTCTCCTCAAGAAACACACTGACAGAAAGAGATTAGTTTGCTTTGTACCTCCATGTGCAAGCTGTCCGTTCGGACACCCCTGAGATACCTTCAAGCGTACAGCTTCAGTTGGAGTGAGTGAGCGCATCCACACGGCGCCAAACTGCAGCTTGGGTCACAGCCAGTTCATTGGCAGTCTGGCCGAGAGCTTCACACCACATGCCACATTCTTGATTCAGAATAAAAGGAGTGGATGGGAAACAATGACTATCCAGATACTGCCCACAGTGAAAGTAATGGGATGTGTCAGTTCCAAGGTGGCTCATCTGAGTGGAACATCTGTGGCAAAGAATGTGACGATGTCAAATTCTTTGTCTCTAATAGCAATACAGGTGAGCTTCAGGGAGCAAAATTCTCATTTCCTGTTCTGCTGCAGACCTGCTCAGGTAGGTACAAGGGTCAAAATGCCCTCAAAATACTAAAATGAGCTCACCATAGAATTCCATATATTTCTGTGTGATATAAAGTACCAGTCAAAGGTTTGGACACACTTTCTCATTTAATGAGAAAGTGTGTCCAAAAAGTGCGAGTGTGTGCGCGCGCACGTTTGGCTTTGTGTGTGTCCATCGGGGCTGAGCTCCATGGAGAGCTGTAAACGCGCAACCATATCGAGTCGGATAATATATGCCTTAAGGGTATAAGATATATATGGAAGATATTTTGTTTGTTTTAATAAGAGAACAAGGCACAGGATAGGAAAGGGAACCTTGAATCACTTGTGATCTGGCGCTCTATAGAAAATGAAACCTTAAAGATCTTCTGTGGAGGTGGGGGTGCTACTTGGGGGGCCGGGGCACCACATGGAAGGATACATTTATATTTATAGTTGCAATACATCTCCTACAGACAAAAAAGGGTGTTTTTCTTCTCTATTGGGAGTGACAACACTCAACTAAGTTCATCGGCTATTGAAGTATTTTTCACTGGATATATTGTGTTTGAAATTAATGTCTTAGAAGGAAAAATAACCAACTGTCTATTGAGTGAACAATTTCTGTCTCTGGGCTTAAGTGTGCCAACTGGTGTGTTATTTGCTGCTGCCTCGGCCAATGTGGACACAATGTGATGCCCTTCTCCCAGCCGACTGTTGATGACAGGCTGAGGGGGCCCAGCCTGCGTGGGGAGACGACAACAATACTGATGGAAACGTGCAGCAGCAGCTAAATGTCACTTTCTCAATCACGTGCACTGGTGTGAAAAACACACATGCACACATACACACACACACACACACACACACACACACACAGATTTGCACTCACAACAGCTGAAGAAAACCCTGTATTGCATTTCTTGCACATGTTACCGACATTAACCAGATGTTAGATCTTCATCGATAACAGACACATCCACATCGGAAGGAGAATTCATTTCATGCAACGCTGCAGAAATGTCAGCTCTCGTCCCAAATCATAACTTAACACCATCCGTGGTGCGAATGATTTAATGGTCCAGTCAGCAGATGCTAATTAACCAGTCCAAACTACAGGTAATTTGGGGGTTATAGTCGTCATCATCATCATCTAGTTTAAGAGGTGAGGCACAATGACTTGTGACAAAGTGATGTAATTTCCTAAGAGATTAAGATGTACATGATGGATCACAGTGCACTGAACAGAAAATGTATTGGTGCAGCCATTTTCATAATGTCTAAATGTGTCAATTTTTATAATGATTGTGGAGACCCATCCATCTGAAACGTTCTAATTTAACGTATGAATTGGACCTCAGATATTTATACACCCTGTGATCCGTTCATTTGTTCTGGACTAAGGAAAAAATAAAAGAACTTGATCTTAGGAGCTAGATTCAATTGCCAATAAGTATGAGGTTGCTGCTCGTCTGTTTTTCTCAGAATTACTTAATTAATTAATTAATGTTTTTGTTTACCTCACTTAATGAAACTCACATTATTTGCATTTGAATACTCATTAGATCACGCAGCATAACTGTTCAGAGAATCTACTGCAGACACAAATGGTTTCAACATTCAAGCCCTAACCTCCGACTTTTACTTAGGAAAAAGAAATCTCATTTTTGCTCCATTTCTGTTCCAAATCCTTGTGATCAATCTTTCTTCCCTGGCCCATCTGTCTGTTATCTTCTCCCATTTGTCTGTGGTGTATTTTGCCCCATCCATCCACAAACCCCCCTATAAAGCTGACTTTTCTGGCCGTCTCATCGCACAACATCGGCGCTCCCTCTTTCCAGCCTGAGGTCCGCTCGGGGAATGAGATGATGCCGCCAAAGATAGTGGAAATGTCTCCCAGGAATGAAATATTGATAGACGGAAAGGCCACGCCTTTTGCCCTTGAACCTGCGGGCACGGAGCGAGAGGCACGCAGTCGATGAGCAATGGAGAGGAAAGCCTAAACAAACACACTAATCCTGAGGAAAAGAGCCAGACAGAGAGCGATGCCAACGCCACAGTCCTGTCCAGCCTTTTCCCTCGGAGGTGTCGTTATCTTCTTCCTCCCCCTCAGCCAACTACTATCAGATTCTCTTGCACTTCACTTGATGCAGTTTATTTCCAGACCAAAGGCTTCCAGGCTTAACATATGATCCCCATCTGGCAAATAAGGGAATCAATAGAATGTAAATAAGGCGAGGGGAAATGAATCCCAACGTCTGCATTTGCAAAGCAGCAAGCAGCGTGAGGCCCGGGTGAAACATGCCAGCCTTGTTTAGGATGAACTGTCGGCTTGCTGTTGTAGCATGCCTTGATTGCAAACATGGCATCCCTCTGTGCTGTTGTTTGCTTTTGCACAGAGTACTCAGAACTCACCGAGATGGTGTTTACATCAACTATGGTCAAGGTGTGTTTTGTATAGAAAGCAATGTGAAGGCGGGGACGGGTGGTGTAGTCAGTTTATCAGGTCACTCAAGCCGTTACATAACTCCACCGTAATAACGCCTGTGCCACATGTGTCGTTCCATGGCACATGCCGATGGCAGCTTCATCTGCCTTGAGAAAACAATGAAGCCTCATTGGAACCAAATCCAAATGTCTTCATATCAAATCTCCACCATGCCAGAGACTAAATACAAAAATAGATTGTGTGTTTCAGTTCCCACTTGTTTTCATCCATGGCTGAAGGTATCAACAGGGACACCCTGGATTCTAGCCGGAGTGAATATCATTGATTACTTACCATTGATCCATTTGGCCTCCGGGTCATGGACCGTGAAGTCAGGTTTGAAAAGATCCTCGACAGACAGTTTGGTGTTGCTTCCAGCTTGGCTGTCAGCTGCAAAAACAAGCCATTCATTGTTAAGGCCTGCATTTTGTCTAAGATATGTATACCACATTTGTGGTATAAATGGTTTCGTTTTAATGAAGTGAATGAGATCACACTGCAAACCATTTTAAACCTGAAAAGTCAGACCGTCATTAAAAAGGACCTGGAACCTGAACCTGTATCAATTTCCTTTTTTCTGTTTACCTGTCGATCACCAACCACCTCTGTTCAGACCTTTGACCTTTGCTTGTTAACTCATGCATCTTCATTACAAGAAATCACTGAACTGTTTTAGTGTTCTCCGTTCATCAGCATTCGGGTAATTTCCCCTTGTAGGCTTGCTCACCAGCTTGGCACATAAAGCTCAATTAATCAATATGTTTTATAGCAACAATGAATCAAATGTCATGACACGGGTCCCTTAGACTGACGAACCCACAGAGAAATAGCTTGTATGCTGCACCAACTTTTTCAGCTTTTTCTTTTGGTTTGACTTGCATCTTTACAGTTCAGTTTTTCTCACACAGCGTTTTTAATTGAATAAGCTTTTGCGAACCCACTGTACGCGACACTTACAAAGTAATCAACTAGCTAACATCTTGCTTTAAACGTCTTGCAAATTTCTGGGGATTTGTCTCACATGTTGGTGGAGAACAGAGCTGAGCAAAAAGGAACATAAACAGTGGACTTGCATGGGACTTATAACTTAAATAAGTATCCCATAAGGCCCAAAATGTGAGTGATGGGGCTTTAAGATTTTGGTTAAAAGGATAAAAATAGCAGTATAAAAAAAAGACCAATCAAATGCTTAATAAATTGTTTAAAATGTTTTGCAAATACTATGAGGGGCTGTTTAGGACTTAACTATTGTGACACTCTCACGTACTAATGAAACACTCTCGTGCACAATACTGAGACACGTACATAAATACTCTGTAAACCTGTTCATGCGCATATATAAAATATTATACATACTCATCTGAAACACATACATATGAGAAACACACGCATACATATATAGAGAAATGCTCTTACATGAACTAGTGAGATTACGCATGTGAAGCACTCATGTATACGGATCTAAACTTTTCTCATATCCTATTAGTTAAGTCCTAAACGACCCCTCATAAAATACAGTTGAGGTGTTCAGTGTCAGATTTGCGTAAAGCTACGTGGACACTCAAAACATTACTGGAAATGAAAAAGGTGCATCCGTAACAATATTCTTTTCACAGAATGGCATTTCACATGTCCATTAGAACGCAATTACTGTGCTAGAAATTAGTTTTTAAATTAGTCTTTATGTTTTTCTTTTCATTTTTAATTATGAAATGTTACTCCTTCAACAAGAAGAGAATGTGCCAAATGACAGCTCCTCCTGAATAGTACAGCTGCTGATTGTGAGCAGAATTGCAGGGCCATGTCATTTTGAATGTCAGCCACGTCGGCCTCACTTGATGATTCCACACACATGTTTGTTTATGGAGGCAATGAAAGTCTAACCAACCGTGGAATACACATGGGGAGAGTGTGCTGCATGGGCAGTGGATTGTGATGCTTTTTCATCTGTGAAACATTGGGCCTTTTCTTTCATTATTATGGAGGCAGGGATACAGTTTATAAAAGTATTGAAAAGATGGAAAGGATTACACCACTGTGTGATATAGAGAGGTCCAAGGACTGATGGGATCTCACATACCCCAACTCAGTTTTGAGTAGTGGGGGTAAATTCGATCAAGCAGGCCATAAACCTGGATTCCGTATAAGGACCTGGTCCTCAAATATCCTATTTTGCTAGTTGTCATTTTCGCTTTTTACAACAAGTCAACAGAAGTTACCGTAGTTGGACTACAGAGTGAGGTAGCAATGCCATATTTATGGTCTACTTTACTCTAAAGGCAGCCATAAATCACTAAACTAAATGCCCTGCAATGAAGAAGACTTAAAACTATTCAGACCATTAACTCATGTTGACAATGTTAACGTACTATTACCAATACTATACCTACTATGCCAGAGGAGTCCCCTCCAGATGGCAATTTGAAAGAATGCACTTTAAAGACACTTTTTTTCACAACTGGATGTTGCAGTCTGATTGTACTGAGCTTCATCCTGTCTTGTTACTTTTGGTTCAAAAACCATGATGGCAATGGCTTAAAATCAAGATGGCAACAGTCAAAATTCCAAATTTGGGGTTTCAAAACTGTTTTCCGCAAACCAATGGTTGTGACTGTGACCACATTTAGTTTTTTCATAATGTCTGACAGTGGGCACTGCAGGTGAAACATTTAAAACATTTAAATGTATTGCAAGATGCGGTGTCAATTACGTTTGACACATTATTGCTTTTTTAAGTAACCGGTTTAAAAACGACACGTCCTGCAAACACTGAGCAACATTAGTATTCATTTGGAGTTGTGTTTTGAATAACCAAACATGTAGGTCCAAAGTTTGCTCTCCTTTTGTGTCTGTTGGTAAAGCTCAGGTAGAGTGGGATAATCAATCACTTAAAACAGCAGGAAATAGTTTGGATTGCGGTGCTGCAATTGAACCGAAGAGTACAACTGACAGTCTATACAACGAGCTGAAGGAAGCAAAAACGTTTGTATGTCAGATGGGGATTCTCTTTGTGTTCCTCAACACATGATAATTTGATTCATTGTTGGTATAAAACCAGACGGATGTCGGGATGCGGTGGAGAAAAATCCTCTACTTTGTTGCCCTAAACTGTCATCTGCTGATTGTCGTCTGCATCCTTTTGGAGGACTAAACTGTACCGACACTCTTCACCGGTGAAGGATATATTTTGTTCATCCATCCACATCTAAAAGTAATTTGAAACGTGTTTAGACTTTTGGGTCAAAATAAAAAACGTATATCTGTATTGATTATTTTTATCAACATTCATATCAACAGAATGTGAAAGATGTCTAGTGTGTTGTAGAGATATCTACTGGAATTTGCATGTTAACCATCTAGCCCTGGTCCAGCCTGGCTTGTAATACCACTTGTTTCTAATAGGGTAACGATGAGTCAATGTTGCGTCCGTCCCATGTAAAACCAGGACCTCTTAGACAGTAGGGCACAATCCCGGCTGTTACCTGGAGTGAGGAGGATGACCGACATGGTGATTAGAGAGCAGACCACCAAGATGACCAGCAGAGCGATGGCAATCCCTTTCCAGTTCCTCTGAGGAGGACTCCCACCACCTAGATCCTATAGAAAGGGAGGTAAGGGTGGAACAGTGAATAGAAAGACTTTCCCAGCTTACACAGCTATGAGGACAAATTACCCTTTTTTCACAATGCTTAAGTTTAACAGTCATGATGTTTGCCGCCTTAGTTTGTTGACACCAAAATGTAATTTAAAATGCTGGATTTTTCTTCAGAGGTAAGAATGAATGCAAAATCACTGAGAGGTTCAACAAAGCAGGTCTATCCTATCTGTCGCATATTGCATACAACTGTAGCACAGTGGGGATGCTCAAAATACCTACTAACATTCTTCCCCTGCACGGTGAAGGATTTGCTTTGAAGAGCTTTGCATGAGCCACACATACAATGCTTTGTATAAGTGCTGGAGTACTTATGTATGATTGCTCAGCCAAGCTTCAACCAATCATTTCAGTCATGCATTCTGACCTGTACATAACACATGCAGTACTTTCTGCTGGGGCCGAGAGTTTGGTACATAAGGAACACAGGCGGACATTTGCATTCAAGAGCTCGGAAGTCAAGGCGGCTGGTGGTGACGCGGTTTCACACTTGCAGCTCACGTTTCAGCAGTTACACAAGTGGCTTGGAGAACTGGCCTCCATGTTATGTACAAAGGTTGCCTGGAGCCCATGTTTGGGTTATCCATTCTGTTAATCCAACTCTTCTTTCAATGAAGAAAAAGTCCCATGTTCTGACAGAACTGAGGCTGTTGTGACCCTAAGAAAAGGATTATGTTTGGTTGGTTAGCAGTACAGCAGCCGTTTGCATTTAAGGGCTTCCTCTGTCAAATCGGCTGCAGAAGATTTTGGCTACAGCAATCGGAGTGACCACAAAGTTGCTGAGTGTGATATTATCTACAATGAAATAGCTATCCAGGAGAGTTTGTGAAAGCTTTTGCCTGCAACTGCATCTCTCCTGGTCTTGGTGTGAGAGGGATTTAGAGTCTTCAACCACATCTGCTGCTTCTGATAAGATGCATTAAACCTCCCCCTCTGCATTTCTCCTCCCCACAGCTTCTCCTGCCCTCAATTACCCACAACACCCTGTCAGTGAAAAACAGTGATCACTGACCACCAACCAACTAGTGCATCTTGTTTGGCCGGGGTGGAAGCAGAACAAAATGATTGCCAATTAGAGCTGGTTTCCGCTTCGATCTCACATTTTCTGGAATCCATTTCCTAAGTAATTGTGGGGTTTAGAGCACCGTAATTCACTTTTTCATCCAATAGATGTGACACATACTGACTGATGAGGCAAGTATGATGGAAGTACATTCAGTAGTGTTTTTGTTACGGACTGTAACATGGAACTCTCTTCTACCTTCTAACAGTTGGACATAAAGCATTAGATTGCAGTGGATTTTACAGTCACCTTAGTCCTACGCACTAAGTACTTTGCTACAGTGTTACATTATTCACAGCCCCCACCGGACTCATAAGACCACCCTATTATGCGCTTATTTCATTAAAACCACAAAAACTGACGTGTCCTTGAAAACTGACAGCAACTCTAAATTGCCTTTGTGCCTCCATGCATGACATTTTACTCCTCTTTTTCATTTTCTCTCATTTGTTCCCCCCAAATTTCCTATTTAGCAAAATCTGAATCATCGCGCACAATTTATTAACTCAATTATAAGCAATGAACCAACCATTAGGATATTTATTACCTGCCGAGTTCCCTCCATTACCATTATTATAAATTCTACAAAACCTATTAGAGAAATGAAAGACATCGACCCAATCAACATATTCCACATGTAAACTACTCTGCACAAAAGCCAAGCTGTAGTCCATCCAAGATGGCCCACTTTGTTATTCCATCAAAGACATATATACTAAGTAACTCATAACCACTCAGAGCATTGGGATGAAAATACAATATTTTACATTAACTTAAGTTTTGCATATTTCTGGCTGAACCAAATGCTGATTTGGTTCAACGGGTTCCTGGTTGTTTTCATTACACCTTGTGTTTCAAGTCCTTTTATGTTACAGACCACTGGAGCTTACAGCACACCCAACTCTAAGCATAAAGTAGCATAAATCAACCTACTGACCTAGCAGAGAGGCAGAAAGTGACAGATTATGATGCAGGTCTCACCCCTTACCAGGAAAGCCTTGAAGACGTTTAGAAATTGTAAGTGACAGCAGGGAAGAAGTGACACCAGTCACAGTAGACAGTGACTATGTTTCGTCTTTTGTAGTTGTGAATAAAAACCCGACAGTCGCACGTAGCCTTTTATATTCCAGCTAACGGGACAAAATTTGCAAAAGTCACATGCAAGGAGTTGTTACAAAACATGTTTATTAAAGCTTGCAAGTGAGATAATGCTATTCAAATGATTTTGGTTAACACTTTATAATAACTACACACTATGAGGCCTAAGCTAAGTATCAGTGACCACTAAATTCATCATTTGTAAAGTATTATCACTCATTAGTATGCAGTTCTTAACATTTATATATGTTTTCCACCCAATTCGGCACTAGAATAGTTTAATCCGGCCGTAAATCAGCATTTAAACAAGGATACAAATTAGTTTCAACCTGCATCTAACTCCCTGCAAGAGAGCAAACAGGCATGCATAGTATTTAATCAATTCTCAATTCAATCAACACTCTTTTTGTCCTGTAAATATAAAACAATCAGGAGGCTGCACTTCCAGTTGATTGGAACTGTGAAGTTCAGACGAGTTTGTGCTAGTGCAGAATACCATCTGCTCAAATTATTCTTCAAAACTCCTACTTGTGTGGCTTTTGTGCTTAAATTCAATGTCGTTTCCACCTGTTCACCTGAAGTTAATCTCCACAGGCAGGCGTCAAAAATGCAGCAAATCGATCATTCATACATTTGCATGTTGTATTTCACTTACGAGCTTCAAAGGCCCGCCGCGTATACAGCCTCGCACCTAGCAAAGGTTGGTTGATGATTAGATAGGAGATCGACATTAATTTGTCGTCGTCTGAAAACATCCCAGGTCTCCTTGCAAGATATCGCACCATCTCATTAATTCACATTGTCCTGTTTGTCTAGAAGGAGCCCTAAACCGGTTGCGAAAGCTAGCATCAGTGACCGCACACATGTAAGATATTAACAGTGTCTACTGACTCTCTCTCTCTCTCTCTCTCGCCCACCAACTGCAGCGGCAACAACAGGCACATGTGCGTTACAGGCGTGATCACAACAAGGGCTCTGATTGGCTGATTCTTTCAGTTCCAATGATGACTAGTAAAGTCCTTCAATACATATTTGCTTCATCTATTAAATTTCTAACAACCCTGTCTCCACACATGGCATGCACAGCAACATACAAATTATAAGGGAATTTATTGAAATACTTCTGTTAAGTGTCCTGAACAATAGTAAAAACTAAGTTATACATCTTTTCAAATTGTTGCTCCTTATTTTAATTCCATCAGTTATTACTTGTTCATTCAACCCCATACAACAATTAGATCCCTCATTTAATTAAACTGAAAAGGGCCGTTATCTACCTGACGGGAACAAATGCTATCAAACTAAATCAATACAGTCAATTATTCATCGGGTCGAGTAGACCACAGAACACACTGGGACACATTTGTTGTCAGAGACATAGCTGAGTGAACAGTGATGATAATGACATCGGGCTTACTCAGAGGACATGATATAACAGTGAGTGGTGGTTGCAATTACTAGTAAAATACTCTTCTTTAAATAAGTATCATTTGAATAATTCAAATCGTGCTTTTTTTCTCACAATTTCTGTTGACAGTGTAGCCGATGATTGAACATGTCATGGAATAACCTCACCACGACAATGTCTGAAAGGCCGGCTAGGGAGGAAAACCTCCACCGATTTCCACAAAGCTGTCCCTCGGCAGTCATGTGGCTTGGTTGTGTTCCATTGGAGGCTATTTTCGATAATCACATCCTCTGTCTTTGAAATAGCATGGGTTGTCTTCAAAACTGAGAGAAAACTACTCCATGCGGAAAAAAAACACACACCACAGAAAGCGTACAATGAGAAGAGAGCGAAGGCACAACCAAAGAGAGGCTGATTCCTGGTTCATTACACTGAAAATATATCGCACAGTATGTATTGTGAAGTGTGTGTAGTGTGTGTATCTTATTCTTCTGTAATGTGCGTATGCTTCAGTAAAACATTTACATCAAGAGTAGTTGAAATAAAATCTGACAAAATGTCCAGCACTGTGATTAGGACGTAATGGTGCGTATTTGTCACGAAAAAAAATAAAATAATAATATATATATAATCTGTTGCAAAGCTTCCCTTTCACTTGAAACCCTTAGAAGGAAACACTTCATGAAAACCAGCATTAATAATATTAAATAGATGGTTAATAAAAAATGTAGCTTGAGTTTTTGTTACTTTTACGGTAAATGTTACTCATTAACAAACACTATAAACTGTTAATAATAAACAGTTCAATGGGTGTGGCAGCATCTTCCGCAGAGCGCTAAACAAGTAGCCTACCATTTAATATTTAATGTAATCAAAATTGTTCTAATCAGGTGTTATTTAATATTTCATCTGATAACTATTTAATTTAATAGTAACAGCTATCAGTGTTACTAATTATCAAACACAATTGGTTGTAATTTCCCAGTAAAATAGCTTAAATAAGGTTTATTTGACTGAATTAACAATGTCTTAATACTGTCAATTAAACATTTTTATGTCAGAATAACATCATTGTTTAAATATCTCTCAGCGCCTACACATCCCCTACACACTCCCTGGTAATTATTGTGCTCATTGCTGGCACATTTTCTCAGAGGGGGAGACTGAGAATAATAAGACATTTTATAAAATTAGAATGCTAATGCTGCCTTTGAGATGTTTGATTAAGACCCCTGCCATCTTCATCAAACTCTAGTTAATAAGCTTAATCCCCACTGGCTTTTTGTGCAAGTGTGTGTTTTGTGCACAGACATAGATGCGACCAGCCCGTTGTCAAAAGTGTCGGCCTATTTATAGAGTCATTGCCTGGACTC